GTTTTTAGATGTAGAGATTTTAGATGTACTAATTGTAAATTAATACTTTAAATGTTGATAAAAGTTTGATTGATAAGCTGTAAAATATGTTATTGTTATTTTAAATATTGTAGTTATTTGTTTTTTTTTTTGAAAATATAATTATGAATTATATAAGATTTGAGTTTAGAATTCAATAGTGTTGTAGGGACAAAACGCAAAAAAAGTTTTGCTACAATAATGATCTTTTTTATAATTTTTTTTTATATATTATAAAGTAAGATTATTTGTATTTGTATATGTATATACATTGTATTATTCTTTGTCTTAGTAAGGGAAGAGAAAGACGAGAGAGGGAGAAGGAGTACAAAACTGATTTCTTTTTTTTTTTACAATTTTTCATTATTGTTGTATAACATATATTTATATAAAGAAAGGGAAATGTGGTAAGTAGAGTAAATGAACAACAAATTTTGTTACCTACTCCTGCTTGGATAATTATTATCTAATACTCCTTCTTAATTATGGATCACTAATAATTTATTACGGATTATCTCATTAAAAACTTTATCATGGAAAAATATATTAGAATAAAAATCATGACAAAGAAAAAAAGTACAGTAACGTAATCTCCCCCTACAAGTGATAGATATAACTTTTCTTCATATATCTCGCAGTCGGCGCATTCCAATATTATGGACATGTTTTCTGAATGATGTAGTAGAAAGCGCATTTGTAAAGAGATCTGATGCATTGTCACTTGAGCGAACATATTGAATATCCACAACCTGATTCTTCTCGAGTTCTTGAGTGTAAGAGAAAAACTTTGGAGGAATATGATTTTGTTCTGTTACTCTTGATAAAACATTCTTTAAGTTGAGCGACACATGCAACATTGTCTTCAAATATTTTTGTTGGTTCTGTATCGATGACTATTCCACTTGCACTTTGTATATGTTGAAGCATAGATCGGAGCCATATGCATTCTCTACATGCTTCATGAAGAGCAATGATTTCCGCATAATTTGAAGAAGTGGTGACCAAAGTTTGTTTTTGGGAACGCCACGAGATCACAGTTCCACCAATTATAGAAACATATCCAGTTTGCGATCGAGCTTTATGCGGATCTGATAAATATCCTGCATCTGCAAAACCAACTAGACCAACTTTGGGGTTTTTATGATAAGATAAACCCAGATCAATCGTACTTTGGAGATAACGAAAGATATGCTTTATCCCATTCAATGTCTGCCCGTAGGAGATGAGCTGTATCTTGTAAGTAGACTAGTAGCAAAAGCTATATCTGGTCGAGTACAATATGCAAGATACATAAGCCCACCGATAGCGCTCATATAAGGTACTTCAGGACCTAATACATTTTCGCTATCTTCACAAGGTCGAAATGGATCTTTGTTAATATCAAGTGATCTATTGACCATTGGAGTATTCAAAGGAGTTGCTTTATCCATTTTAAAACGTTTTAACACCCTTTTGGTGTAATTTGACTAATGCACAAATATTCCGTCTTGGAAATGCTCAATCTGGAGCCCTAGACAAAATTTTGTTTTTCCAAGATCTTTCATATCGAACTCTTCTTTCATGTGAGTCTTGCATCATCAATCTTTTTTTGAGTTCCAATTATGTTCAGGTTATCAACATATACAGCAATGATCACAAATCCTGATGAGGATTCTTAATAAACATGCAAGGGCATATCGCATTGTTGATGTATCCTTTACTCAACAAGTATTCACTCAAGCGATTATACCACATGCGTCCGGACTGTTTTAATCCGTAAAGTGATCGCTGTAATTTGACCGAACATATTTCTTTAGATGCTTCAAGAATCTTTGATCCTTCTGGGATCTTTACTCCCTCTGGGATTTTCATATATATGTCACTATCAAGTGATCCGTATAGATATGCAATCACAACATCCATAAGGTACATGTCTAGATTTTTAGATGCCATTAGGCTCATTAAGTACCTGAATATGATTGCATCCATGACCGGAGAATATGTTTCTTCATCATAATCAATACCCGGTCTTTGAGAAAAACCTTGTGCCACAAGTCGGGCTTTATATCTTGTGACCTCGTTTTTCTCATTTCTTTTTCTCACAAAGATCCATTTGCACCCGACTTGCATTACATCTTCAGGTGTAATGACTATAGATCCAAAGACATTTCTTTTATTCAGGGAGATTAATTCATTTCTCATTGACATCTGCCATTTCTCCCAGTCATGCCTTTTTTGGCACTCTGACATGGACCTTGGGTCTAGATCATCATTTTCTTTATCAATTTCTTTGGATACTGAAAAGGAGAACATTATATTTGTATTATTTATCTCACTTCTAGCCCATAATTTCCTACTTTGGGCGAAGTTAATGGAAATCTCATACTTTTTATTATCATGTTCGTCTTCTGGATGAACTTCTTTAACTGATTCTTCTGGAACCTCTTCATGTATGTGTTCAAGACATATATCTTTATATGGTTCTTCTATAACCTTTTCACCAATGTCTTCAAGACATTTTTCTTTATTTGGTTCTTTTGGAACCTTGTCTCCCAATTTCTTTTTCTTTCGAGGATTTTTATCCTTCGAGGCCATCGGCCTCCTACGCTTTAACTGAACCCACGATTCATTTGCTTTATTCCCATCAATAACTTGTTCTGGAACATTTATTTTTGATGGAGCATTAGCAGCGGGGATATATGATTTTGTCACCCTTCTCGTATCTGTGAACGCATCAGGTAACTGGTTTGCCAAACTTTGCAATTGTATAATTTTCTGAACTTCCACCTCGCGTTGATGGATAGGGGGATCGAGATAAGCCAAGGTTTGTGTACACCATGTGATATCCTTTGGTGATTCTCTTGATCCTCCTCCCAACACTGGGAATTCAATTTCATCAAAGTGGGAATCAGCAAAACGTGTCGTAAACATATCTCTAGTTACCGATTCAAGATATCTAATTATATTTGGTGACATATAGCCGATATATATTCCTAATTTCATTTGTGGCCCTATTTTTGTTCTTTGCGGTGGGCTATCGGAACATAGACCGCACATCCAAAAAGACGGAGATGGGATACATTTGGCTCCTTGCCAGATGTTAACTGTATCGGGGAATATTCATTATATGCACTTGGCTTCATCTGGACTAATGCCCCAGCATGTAATATAACATGTCTCCATACAGTAATTGGAAGATTTGTTCTCAATATTAACGGTCTTACAATCAACTGCAACCGTTTTATTAAAGACTCAGCCATGCCATTTTGTGTATGAACATGTGGAACCGGATGCTCAACATTGATTTCCAATGACATACAATAGTCATTAAAGGCCGCTGAAGTGAATTCACCAAGGTCATCAAACCTGACTTTCTTTATGACATAATCAGGGAATTGCACTCTTAACCTGGTTATTTGGGCAATGAATCTTGCGAAAACCATATTTGTTGTGGTCAATAGACACACATGTGACCATCTGCTAGATGCATCGATTAATACCATAAAATATATAAATGGCCCACACGGTGGGTGAATCGGCCCACATATATCACCATGTATTCTCTCTAAGAATACAAGGGATTCATTCACAACTTTGGCTGGCAATTGCCTAGTTATGAGTTTTCCTTGAGAAGATGTCTGAAATGAAAACTCTCCTGATTAAAAAAATTTATGGTTTTTCAATGGGTGGCCACTCAAATTTTGTACAATCCTTCTCATCATGACTGATCCAGGATGGCCAAATCTTTCATGCCATACTCTAAATGTACTAGTAAACCCCAAGTTTACTGTAACATAGGATTCAGTCATATTTATTTTTGTGCAATATAACCCAGAGGACATCATTGGTAATTCTTCCAATACATGTTTCCTCTCAGATGTAATGCAAAGATATTCAATGCCATTCTTATTTGTACTTGCTATATGATATCCATTTCCTCGGATATCTTTAAAACTTCGCAAGTTTCTACTAGATTTGGAGAATATAATGCATCACTTATTTCAAACTTTGTTCCCCTTGGCATTGAAAAATAAGCTCTTTCGGAGCCTATTATAATGTTTGCGTTATCAGATATGGTACTCACACTTCCGGCGGAGTCCTTTATTTTGAGACAAGAGAAATATTTTTTATCTTTAAGTATAATATGTGTCGTAGCACCAGTGCCGTGCTTAGAGTGATAAGGGCCTAAGGCAAATGACAAATTTTTTTTTTCCATTTTGCTATAATTATTTCTAAAAAAATACTTTATTTTGCTATAATATCTATAAAATGGAGTATAAGTTGTAAATTAGATTTAAATATTATTTATAATATATTATAGATTACTAATGCTTTTTTCTTAATTTATAATAAATTTTCAACCACAAAAAATAACACAAAAATACATATTGACCAATATACTAAATAAAAATATAAAAATTAGAGGCCCTAAAACTTGCTTAATATTAAAGAGGCCCAAGGCAAATGCCTTATTTTTCTTCATTAAGCACGGCTCTGCGTAGCACTGTCTGCTAGACATGTATCTTCATCCTGAATCTCAAACGATGACATGTTCTGGATCACAATATGCAAAAAATGTATTAATAAACCACAACATGATTTTAGAAATTATTTTCTATTCAGAAAATATATTACATTTTTTATTTAAAAATACATTGGTTTTTCTTGTCTTCTTAATAAGACTTTATATTACATCGATCTTAATTGCTTTGTTTCTATTGATTCTTCAGAATCAACACGGAAATCAGTGATATCAAGATGCGTACAATCACTTATACCATCAAAAGAAGGTCCAACTTCATCAGAGAGGAAATTGTGATGCTCGATACAGATCGACTAAATGTCTTGGTGTACGTGTCAAGAAATCCGCCAGAAAACGTCACTTAATTAACATCATTTCGTTAACCGACTTAAAAACTTAATATTAGAAGGGAGTTAGCGTTATTTCGTTAACCGACTTAACTCTTAATACTAAATATAAATAAATGGCTCTTGAATTAAATAGACGTGCAAAATAAAATATCCAGGTTTGCGAGTGTGCAACTCCGAAGACGAAGAGCTCATACAGAGGGTATTCCAAGACGAAGAGCTCTCCGAAGACGAAGAGCTCAATCATTCTCATCAATTTTCGACAATATCCAGGTTAATATCGATCGATCCTCTATTCAGATTTAGTTTCAACGATCTATCCGTATCTCAATTTGATCCACTGGTTAGATTTCTGTCTTAGATGCTTTGCTTCTCAAATTGCTATGTATAGTCGAATTATATGAGATTTTACTGTGTTTCTGATTGATTACATGATTCTGACATGGATCCATGAAGATATTTGGAGGTGGAACTTTCAGAAATCATTGTTCTAGGCTTAAGGGGATTTCCGATTGGGTTTTATTTTGTTTCAGTCACTCTCTCCGTGACGTATTGGAAAATATTGTTGTGTTTGATTGAATAGGTTGAAATCAACAAGGATTCATTGGGGGGAATTTTTCAGATAAGATTTTCGACTATGAATCACAAAAAAGGAAAAGTTGAGTTTAATGTAATACTTAATCAGATCCCAAGTTGATTTGATTTCTCTACTTTCTCAGAATTTGGAAGAAATTGTTGTGCCCGAGCTGAGATTTTTCTGTTACTAATGCTAGATTTCTTGGCCCGGGCCAAGACTCTCTCTTTGCGATTCTGAGTTTTGGATATTTTGGTAATTGCTGTATATTCATCATCCTCTTAAAGGCTTAAAGCTAGTCTTATCTTATGTGAGAAGCCTTGAGTTGGATCTTTTGTGCTCTAGATTTTGAGTTTAATGTAGCTTGGCTATTGCAATTTTCAGGCATCTGTTATAGAGGAGAGGAAACAAAGTAAATCCTTCTGCTCCAATCCCTTTTTATAGGTAAGTTTACATCGCAGGCTTGTCACATGAATATCCTCTAATAATCTTGCATCAAAGCCTTGGGTTGTTGGCAATCTTGTGCTCGAACATATTTGAATACCAGAGTGATCTTTGCTTCCTTTTTGCAGATACTTTCAATGACTTCAACACATGGGTCGTTCAACACATGGGTCATTCAATGTGAGGTACGAAAAACACTACAATTGCAAGCTCCAGTCTTCGTAAATTGTTCAACCATTTGTTTCTTATATTGAACTAATAATCAACTATCATCAGTCTAACACTCCATTTAGTGACTAGTTCTTTCTAAATTGTCCAGGCTTCTCTCTCGTCTTCAGTTACTGAGTGTCACACACGACAATGGATAACCACTCTGTTCCTTAAGGTATGACTGTTCGTGTAACTGAGTGTCACACATAACAATGAATGGGTTCACATTTGTCCTCCCATATTCTTTGTTTCTGAGATTCGTACGGGGTTTTGTTTCATCTTTGAGAGAATCAGTTAATGTTGAAACAAAAAGCTTCAGCTTGAGTCTAAATTTGAAGTTGTTGGTAGAGTCTTTTGAGGTTTCCTCTTGGCTAGAGAGAGCATTTGTGAGGCCTTCAATTTTCTGATCTCAGTTAATCATTTTCATTGCTTCACCATTATACAGGCAGACATAAACGATGATGTCAAGTTCATACTAAATCAAAATATAGATGTATAGCTGACGATATATCAAAGTGATCAGGTAATAGATGAAGATTACGCATATAAAATATATTGTCAATTGATTCATGCCTTAAAGAGTAGGACTTTCGGGGGCTTCTCATAATGCCGTTCTCGATCAAATGCTTTGGATGGATGGTACCATTTTGCTAGCTCAGGCAACACTTGTTGTTCAAACTTTCAACATTTGGAGGTATTTCATCCAACTCTAATCATTTTTTTTTTCATGCCTCAACCATATCGGTCAATACAATTTTCTATTGACTATAAATTATGTAATTTTATTTGATTTTCAGGCAAGTAGAGTTACTAGAGCTGCAATTTGGAAGGCTTTGAAGAGTTGTTTGGAATTTTATAGCTTGTGTGAATTTTACATTTTGTAAGACAGATATGTTTGTGTAGAACTATATATTTGATTAATTAAATTTTAATGGACCGATAGTTTTTTTTTCAGTGTTTTAGTTCATTGCATTTTAATTTATATATTTAAAAGAAAACCCGAAAAATACACACATAACATCGGTTGAATAAGTAACTCATTTATGTTTTTGCGTATTGGAGTCAGACTTTAACCGACGTTAAAAATGATAAAACTGACGTCAAAAATGTTAAAAGCGATGTTAATATATTGACGCTAAACTTAGAGTCTGTTATTAAAATGACGCAAAGTTATTTTACGTCAGGCCTTAATACGTCGGTTAAGTAAGTGACGCTATGTTTTTAGCGTCGGTTTATAACCGACGTTACGTCCATGTATAAGCGACGTTAACTGCCGTTTTTTTAGTGGTCCAATGATTTTTCATGCCGCATCTGTAACAAGCAATTTCTTTATGTTTTTCTGCTTCCCAACCGACATCATTTTGCCTTCCTCGTCCATGACTTCGTCCGCGACCGTAGTTACGGCCTCGACCGCGCTCACATCCGCGTTCAGTCCTATTATTTTGACTGGATGGCACAACATTCGCTTCTGAGAATGGCGATGATCCAGTTGGACGAGTTTTATGGTTTAACATCACAAGCTGATTATTTTGTTCAGCCACAAGGAGGACTTGCATCAACTCCGAGTAAGTGGTGTAACTTTTTCTCCGGTATTGTTGTTGCAGATTACATTTCCCGGATGAAATGTTTGGAGAGTTTTTTCGATCATGTCGAAATCACTTACCTCCTGTCCACATAACATCATCCTGAAAGTAATTCCGAACATTGCGGAATTATATTCACCAACACTTTTGTAATCCTGGAACTAGAGGTTCAACCACTCATGTTTGACTTTCGGTAAGATCACATATTTCTGGTGGTCAAACCTATCTTTGAGAGATTGCCAAAGATTTGCAGGATCTTCTTTCGTGATGTATTCCTCTTTTAAATTATTATCGATGTGGTGGAGCAAAAATATCATGGCTTTTGCATTTTTCTCATCTGATGTCGTTTCCGACTTATCGATGGTATCGAGAAGCCCGTTTCCTCTTAGATGCATTTTTTCACCTACTGACCATGACATGTAATTTTTACCAGACACATCAAAGACAAGGATTTCGAGCTTCGCCAAATTTGACATGATAACTGTATATATATCATAAATTTAACAAAAAAAAATTAATTCAAATTTTGTTTTTAAAGAAACATGATAAAAACTTTGGAATATGCATATATAAAAATGTATACTTAGACCATGTTCATTGAGAGCCCTTCACATTTTTTAATTGGGTTGCTAACGAATATTTTGAATTAAAATAATGAAAAGGAAGTCCAAAATATAAAGGCTGATTCTTGCAGAAGAGTTTTTAGGGCTGGTCCTTAGAAGATTGCTTATAAAAAAATATTATAATATTCTTAAGGAACTTTTAATGAAATCCTCTAATGTACATGCCCTTAGGCAATATAGAGGCAGAACTTTCTATATAATTGAGGAAGCATTAATTTTAAGGAGGAGGTATAACCTTCTATTCTACAAATATAAAATCAAGGAGGAGACTTAGCCTTCCACTCCATATATATGATCCGAGGAGATATAGTCTACCATATGATCAAATGATCGTGAAGGCATAACCTACTAGAACGATCAGTTTGGGGAAGGCAGAGTCTATCATCCCGTAAACTTGAAAATAAATTGAACATAAATTTAAATCAACGGTTTGGAGAAGGCAGAGCCTATCATCCTGAAATAATACATAAACTTGAAATAAATTAAACATAAATTTAAATCTTACCTCTTTGGATATAAGAACGGATCGATAAACGTTCGTGCTGATAACGTCTTATAAATTTTTCTTTTCTATATATTATAAGGTAAGATTATTTGTGTTTGTATATGTATATATATATATATATTGTATTATTCTTTGTTTAGGTAAGGGAAGAGAAAGATAAGAGGGAGAGGGAGCACAAAACTAATTTTTTTTTCTTAGAGCTTCTCATTATTGTTGTGCAACATATATTTATACAGGGAAGGGGAAAGGTGTAGGTAGAGTAAATGGAAAACAAATTTTATTATCTACTTCTACTTACGTGGATAATTATTATCCAACACTTTTTCTTTTATTTTATTTTCTAGATAGCTAGGTGATTTAGCACGAGGTTTTAGTTTGAGAAACATCTGATACTATATAATATTTTAAGTGAAAAAATATATCGTCAACTTTAATTTAACAATTATAATTTTTTTATGATTGAAAACTTATATCTTAAAAAAAAATTGTACTAGTATATGATGTGTGTCTCTGATTACATATATTTAGAACTAATGAACTATATGGAGTATTCCCTCCGAATTTATTTAGTTGTCGTTTTAAGGTTATGCACACAGATTAAGAAAATATTAATTGTTTTAGGTTTTCAATATAAAAACATTATTAATTATCTATTTAAACACAATTCAACCAATAATAAAACAAATTTCATAATAAAAATAATCATAAAAAATAAAAAACTAATAAATATTACATTGAAAACTGAAAACGACAACTAATTTAAAACAAACAAAATTCTCTAAAATGACAACTAATAAAAAACGGAGGGAGTATTAAATAGTATTTAATTTTCTGTTTTCTTTCATAAAGAGTGTCAAATTGGGCTCTGACCCGCGGGTTCGGTCCAAGTAAAACCGCAGCGGTGCAGGCTTGGGCTCCATAAAATTTTGTCCAAATAAATAGCGGGTTTCACGGTCCAAACCCGCGTGGAAGTTGGGCTTTTGCGGGTCGGGTCAGAGTGGATCCGCGGGTTTGCGGGCCGGGTCAGAGTGGATCCGCGGGTTTGCGGGTCAACCCGCAAAATTTGATGTTTTCTTGTAAAGTTCAAAAAGTGAAGTATTTTGTCATTTTTGATTGGTGGATTTCGAAGTAGTAATTTCATGGAATGAATCGAAGCTAGTGGAGTTATACAATTCAGCTATTGGGCTTTGTGATAACTTCATTTCAATGAGATCAAAGAATCATCAAACTGATATGTGTTTTATATTCGATTCAGTTCTGTGATTGAATTTTTGAATTTGGGATAAAATCTGGTCATTGTCTTCCCAGCTAAAAACTAGTATTTTTTTTTTAGAGTTTTAATTTCACTTTAATGTCATAAGTTTGCTTTTTTTGTTGGTTTTGTTCATCGACTATATCATAAGATACGCTTAAATCTTGAATTGACAATAAATAGGTTTGCTTGAGAATCACATTTGTTTGTACAAACAAATAAGCTTTGTTCATCTTTTTTTTTTTTAATATGTGAATGTCTTGTTGCTTGTATCTTGATGGTTATCTAGCTTAAATTACCAGTTTTGATGTGTATCATTATTTGTAATTCATTTATTTGCTTTTTAAAACTAAGTGACTATTTTTTACCGTTAAATTGATTTTTCAAATCTTATGGCATCCTAGGGTTAAGAGTTTTGTATAAGAGGTTTATCGAATTTATTTGTTTGTTCATCGAATTTCCTTAGACACGAATTTTCTTTAGTTTTGTTTCTTATGCATATTGTGATTCAGTTACGAGCAAAATTTTATTCTCCTCTTGCAGATTTTCTGGTTCTATAAGTTTAAATGTCATAAGAACATTAAGATGAAAAAGAAAGTATGAATCCGCAGGCCAGCCCGTAAAACCGTAGAATATAAACGAGTCGGGTTTGGACACATCAATTTGGAACCGCAGGTTATGGTGGACTAGCCCGCCAGACCTCAAAAAAAAATCCGCATCGGATCGGGCTACTAGCCCGTTTGACATCGGAAAATGTGCTATACGAAAATGTGTGTACTTAGTTTTCGATAGAAAAAAACAAAAAAAACACAGAATATTATGCTTAGGTGTAAGAAGTGTAAAACAGTTTGTTCATGATAAATCATGCATACGATCTGCAATGTCAACAAAATCTTTTCTAAAATCTTTTTTATATATTAAATTTTGTTACAGATAAATTCTACCAATATTACTTTTTTTTTAGAAAAGAGTAATATCTACTAAAATCTTTATTCCTGAATGAAAACAAGATTTTTGATGCGGGAAAATAACAGATTTTGATACACTCAACTGTTGACAAATAAAAATATATATACACGAATTATTTGTTTTGAAGTGTTCATCCTTTCAATATCATCACATCATAGAGCTTCATCATGTTTTCCTTCATCCCATAAAAATCCTAAAAAACAGAGAAACTTAGATTTCTCTCTGATTAAACCATGAATCCAAACAATCAAAACAATCGTATCAGCCTTGATCTCTCCTTGGGGATTGGTCCTCATCAAGAACAAGGCCAGTTCATGCAACTCTTGAGATCAGTAAGTGATCCTCAACCAAGTATCCAACCTCCTCCTCCTCCTCCTCCACATCACATGACGCCTCATGGATACTACAACAACGTCATAAACCCTTGGAATGTCCCCGGGATGGCTCTTCTTCCATCTCCACCGCCCGGGACGGCTCTTTTGCCGTCTCCATCGCCTTATCCACAGTCAGGGAAACTCCTTCAGCCTCCTCAACAGATCCAAGATGAAGCTGTGGCCTTGGAGGCTCCCCGGTCGGGAGCTAGGTTAGGCCGGCCACCCGCTGGACATCAAGCACGTCGTAATAATTCGTCGAGAGCGGTTGCGGTTGAGAAAAACGCTGGTGATAAGGAGATCGAACCACCGTATCCATGGGCCACCACAAGACCAGCCTTTATTCAAAGCCTCAGGTACTTGATTTCTAAGAATATAAACGTGATCTCTGGACAAGTTCATTGTAGGCCATGCGAGAATACTCAAACCGTGGAGTATAATCTCAAGGAGAAGTTTGACGAATTGTTTCAATACATTAACAACAACAAGGAGGCGCTGCGTCAACGAGCACCTATTGTTTGGACGAATCCGAAACTGATTCCGTGTGGCTCATGCGAGAGTGGGATGAAGCCGGTGATTAGCGAGAAGAAGGAAGAAATCAACTGGTTGTTTCTTTTGTTAGGGCAAATGTTGGGATGTTGTACTTTGGAACAGCTTAGGTACTTTTGTGACAAGACTAAGCAACATCGAACCGGTGCAAAGGATCGTGTTCTCTACCTCACTTATCTTGGTCTATTGAGGCAGCTCAAGACCTGCGAAACATTCAGCCTCTGACTCATTTTTTTGAAATGTGGTCCGGCTGATTATTAGGTTTTTAGGGTTTGCTTTGGTGTTCATCGTGTGTCCACTTTAGGACTTTTTAGGGATCACGCAGGTTTTTTTTTTTTCAATGCGTAAGTTGTCGTTTTGTTTTAATTTCTTTATGCAATGATTACTCTAATAATAAATGCGAAAAAATCCTGTTATTGAACTCAAAGAAACAGTACTCTTGGAAATGATGAAATGGAAACAAAATGAAGAATAATTCATGAACACTTTGAAGATCCTCGGGAAATAAAAACATGAAGACCATGAATTTGCATGTCTTTCTAGCCAGAGAACGTAATTTTTCTTTGTTAGTTTATTCTTTGAATGACTCATCAATTTTAATCGATTGGAAGATCTCTAGTGTCTTGCGCCTCAACTTCTAACAATACTGCGCAGTTTTACATCTGGTGATTTTTGAATGATAGGGAAAGAGGCAGGGTCGTGCCCTTAAGGAAAAAAGAAACACTCATCTAGGGGTTTTTGTGAATATAAATTTTTGGGATATATTTTGAAATTAAAATTAGTTATAGTTATAAACTTGGGCTTGTTCGTTTGTAAGCAGCCAGCGAACGCGACTGCGACCTGCGGCTAGACGCTACGACCAGAAGCAGTTGTTCGTTTGTCAACCGCTCATTTGGTCGCAGCATCTAGCTGCGGGTTTGTTCGGTTAATAGCTGCACGGCTAACCGTTTTTTTCTTTTTTTTTAACTGTTTTTTTCATTTAATTCAAATTTTAATTATCTATAAATTTCTTCTTCTTGTGTTGATCACGTATATGTATTCGATTTGGGATAATTCAAAATCGATGATAGGGAGATTTAGTTCTTTTTTTTTTGTTCTTGTTGTTGTTGATCTAAATAAGTACTGATGGATCTGAAAATCCTCTTTTTGTTCTCTAACTCTCTTTATTTAAACATATTTATTTGTCTGTAAAAGTGAGACTGATACAAATTGCTCAGAATTACATGTTAATTACAGTTGAATAAAATGAAATTAACAAAAGAATGAATCAATAGAGAAAAAAGAATCGATGAAAACTGAAAAGTTTTTAGCTGGCCATTGTGCAAGGCTTTAGGAACCAGAGAACGTCCAAGCCTCTCCCTTCCTTGTTGCTTTCTCCACTCTTTCTGCTCTTCTTTTCTTCTGCTTCCTCCTACTCCTTTCTCTTCACACTTCTTCAAGCATTTCCTGTTTACACCCAAAAAAAAAAACACCCAGTTCTTTATGTTCTTTCTTCTTTTTATGTATTGACGTTTGCATGATTGACTAAAAGGGTCTTTCTTTTCAGATTTCAAGGTCCTATGTGCCTGTTTGTAGCAGGAGAAGGAAGACCTATGTGAGCATACCGTAGTTTTGGCCCTCATGGCCTTCAAAGGATTTTTAACACATCATATTCTACTATGAACTATTTAGCCATAACCTACTAGTCTACTACACAATGCATAACTTGCAAAGCCCAATTAATAAACGATCGAGTTGACTAAGAAAGAGAATACTATCAGGTTTGTCACTTCTTTCTCAACAAAAGGTGATGAGACGTGAAACCTAAATATTAATTCAGGGTAGTTTGGCCAATCTGATTTGCTATTGAGTCGCTTACACGTGATGGCACTTATTAAGTTTTATATTACAGGTTTTGACACTTGCAAACAAGATGACACTTTTTTGTAGTTTGTGGACTGGAAAATCCAATTCAGTCCCTCCTTCCCATTTTCATAACAATAGCCGGTTTGAATTAAGTTGCTTAACCGAACTGGAATCTGGTTTCACTCCGATATAGATTTAAGCTTCTGAGATCCATGTTGCAAACAACTCTCTCTCTCTCTCACCTTCTCATATTCAATCATGAACGTTGATTATGAGACAACATTTCCGATCACCTCCGACCGCCGCGATCTTCAGTTCGTCACTTTGTCTACCAATTCTGATAGTTGTTATGTGTCGATCCTTTTTTGGAACAGTGGATCTTTCTGATATATGTCTTCTGCGGCGGTGTTCGTAGCCGATAGTTAACAAAAGACGATTATAGCTGGAGAGATGCTGAACAGTTAAAGGCTTTATGAAAAAGAATAGGAACAGTAAAACAAGTTGGAGTTTACTTTGAAGCACCTTCATCGGTGGCAGACATGACGAAGTTGAACAATGAAACCGATTGTGTTATCCACATGACGTGGATGTTACCAAATGCGAGCAGCTGTGAACGTGGATATAACCATACAAGCGTGAATGTGGATATAATCATATGAGCAGCTATACTTAAAGAACATGGATATAACCATACAAGCATGGATGAAAATGCTAAGTATTTTATATCAAAAGAACTAAAGTTAGTGTGGACGTCTCGATAATAATGGGTGCGTAAGTATTTGAAAACAATTTCGGTGTGTATATAAAAGAAATGACCAGCTATATTTAAAGAATATGGATATAACCATAGAAGAGTGGAAGGTGAGACTATGTATTTTATTTAAAGATGAGTAAGTGTGAATGTGGATGCATCCATAGATAATGGGTCTAAAGCAGTCAGAGGCAGTTTATCTGGATGTTAGTAGAGTTCAATGTAGTAGAGTTCAATGTAGTAAGATAGAGGCTATGTGGATGTATCCATTGTTATTGTGGATATGGAGTTAGAGGTGGGAGAGACCACAAATAGTATGCTAAATAAAGATGAAATATGTTCATACCCATTATATGGATATAGCCATTACAAATGTGGATAATGAGACTGTGACCATGCTATTTGGAATCCCTAGATGCTGAGACATGGACATTTATTGCTGAACATGACGAATATGGATATGGCCATTACGAATTTATAGATATATGCTACTAAATGAACATACTACTTGAACCCGTAGATGCTGAGATATGGCCGAGGGTGGATATGGAACCTCCATTTGTTACATTTATAATTTGGGTATGGTTGTGGCCACATGGCGTCCAGTTAAGTCCACGCGATAACAAAACAATCAGTGAGACATAACGGTGGGCGATGGATACAACCATAGAAGTGCGATAATGGTTAATGTACGTTAACAATTAGAAAATTAATAATGGACGATATAGTATGGACAATGCTTTGTAGACAGTTAGTAATGTAATTATAAAAAGCAAGCCTCTAATGAATTATAAGAAGCAAGCCTCTAATGTGCATGACATAAGACTCGGGTGAGACTTATAAGATTGCGGAATCGATGGCTTGGTGGGATCAACACGCTGGCTATGACGCTCTCTCGTGAAGATCAGTGGATGGAGATGGTAAGACAAGGCTTGTTTTCACAAGACCTGAATCGAGATGGGATCTGTCAAGCTGGCTTTAACGCTCTCTCTTGAGGGATCGGTTAGGGGTTTTGAGGTGGATCGAAAGCACCATAGAGATAATGAAAGGATCTCTGATACTGTGGCTCAACTCTTGGTGAATCACACACGCAAGATCAAGCAAGAAAGCTCTTAGACACAAGCTAAGAAAACGGCGTTATTTTATTGATATCGGGAAAAAAAAGGTTGAAGTACAAGAGCTGTGTGTGGGACTTTATAAACAGTCCGTCAGCTTTGAACCTTCTAGGGTTCGACTCAAAGAAATAATAAAAAAACGACACTAAGGACTAAAAAAAACAGGACTTGTAAAAAGAAATAAAGCAAAATGGCAAAGGGTCTCATTTGGACACAAAAATAGAAAGTTCACTTAAAAATAAAAAGGAAAAGAAACTAATCTTGTGCAACATTTTCTGGACTTGTTCCGTGCACCTCTGATGCTCTCTAGTGTGTTAGATTCCACTAGTATACTACTATGTTACCTGCACAGATCGTATAAATGGAAAATACCTGGTCTCGGCCGGTTGTGGGCTTGCTTGTTACGTCGTTGAGTAGCTCTTTAGTCTTGAGGTTTTCTTTGTTAGTCTTGATGTTTTCTCCGTCTAGAGTCCTGCTAACGTTGTGTCCTGCGAGTTCTTCAAGTATCTTCACGCGTCCCACTTCATGTTCCTATTCTTGTCTCATTTGCTCTCTATTGGCTCCGAGTCTTGAAACGGTTGTATCTTGAGGGTCCAATGTGGTCTCTTCGAGATTCTTGGTGTTCCGTGCTCCATTTCCTGTCAAGTAAACATGTATACCTGGTTCTAGTTGAGGCTGGCTCTCTTTGAGGCTCAGACGCGCGAAACCCTCCATTATGTCTAAATCGGGTCCTTTGGGGCTGTCTCGCGTGTAATGCTCTTGAGACACGGTTTTGAATGCATCCCCAAGTTCCATGGTACTTAGTAATGATTCCACGGCCAAGTTGAACCCTTCATTAAGCCTCCTTGCTTTGGAACGGGTCATGGGTGCTTCTTTGAGCCCAGGAACGATCTTTGGGTCTGGTGATGGTTCGATGGCCTCATCATTCCCTCCCTCTTCGAGAGGTTTTGTTCTCTAAACTGTTTCACCTGCATCATAAAGAGACAAATCAGCAACATTAAATCTATGTGAAATGTTTAGCTCACACCTGGGAGTTCCAATCGGTAGGCATTATCATGGATCTTCTCCAGCACTTTGAAGGGTCCATCTCCGCGAGGGGCAAGCTTGGAGCTCCTTTGCTGTGGGAACCTTTCTGGTCTCATATGTAGCCAGACCCACTCTCCTGGTTCGAATACAAGTTTGTTGTGTCCTTTGTCAGCTCTCCTTTTGTATTCCTCCGTTTTCTTCACTATGTTATCTTGGGCCTTTTCATGTATCTTTTTCACAAACTCTCCTTTCTTGAGGCCGTCTAGATTAACTTGTTCAGCTTGGGGTATTGGCGAGAGATCTAAAGGTGTCAGTGGATTAAATCCATACACAACTTTAAAAGGAGACATCTTAGTAGCCGAGTGGGTAGCATGATTATAAGCAAATTCAATGAAAGGCAAACAATCTAACCATGTTTTCAAATTTCGACCAAGAGTGACCCTAAGTAAAGTAGATAGTGTACGGTTTACCACTTCAGTTTTCCCATC